AAAAAAAAAAAAACAAAAGAAACGCAAGCTCTGCGCACTATGTGAATAAACTGAAGGGGCTGTAAGAGCTCCAGACCCTGGGCAGTGTTCGCCCCTGGGCAGGGGGCCTTTTATTCTCTGCTTTTATTTTTCTGGAAAATATATAACAGTTAAACAATAGGTAACATGTTCTCACAGTTCAAAAATTGAAAGCACGTACTGGCCATCCACAAAAACCAAAACAAACAAAAATCCCCACAAAACCTAAAAAAACAAAAATCAAAAGCAATATAAAAAGGGTTTACACTGAGCAATCTCTACCACGCCTACCCTTGCACTCTATTCCTCCACCCTACAGGTTGCCACTGTGGTTGGTTTCTTGGTTTCCTGCCACTATGGCTGTAAACACAACATGTGAATACATCTTAGTTTTCTTGTCTTAGGCAGAAGTCAGCGCATGGGGGATATGCCGTCTGTGCCTGGCGTTTTTATGTAATTATATGTCTGGAAGTCTCTTCCATCTCATTATTGAGAGTGGCCTCCTTCTTTTCTTATAGCTGTATAGTATTCCAGCATAGAGAGTGTCCACATTTTTTTTTTCTTTTTTTAAATGAATAGGCTTTTATTTTTTTAGACCAGTTTTAGGTCTACAGAGAAATCAATCCACAAAGTAGCAAGTGCCCATATATCTCTTCTCCCCCAGCAGTTTCCCCTATTACTTGTATCAATTAGTGTAGTACGTTTTTTATAACTGATGAACCAATGTTGATACACTATTATTAACTAAAGTCCATAGTCTACGTGAAGGTTCTTTCTTTGTGTTGTACAATCTGTGGATTTTGACGAAGATATAATGACGTGCCCATCATGACTCTATCCTATGGAATAGTTTCACTGCCCTAAAAGTCTGCTCTTCCACCTGTTCATCCCTCCCACCAAATTCCTAGCAACCATTGGTCTTTTCTTTGTCCTTTTTGAGACCTGCCACACCGCGCTCAGCCAGTGAGTGCACCGGCCATCCCTATGGATCCGAACCCGTGGCGGGAGCGCTGCTGCACTCCCAGCGCCGCACTCTCCCGAGTGCGCCACGGGCTCGGCCCAACAACCATTGATCTTTTTATTGTCTCTATAGACTTGCCTTTTCCAGAATGTCCTATATTTGAAATTATACAGTATGTAGCCTTTTCAGATTGGCTTCTTTACCTAGCAATATGTATTTGAGGTTTCTCCATGTCTTTTCATGGCTTGGTAGTTCATTTCTTTTTATTGCTGAGTAATATTTCGTTATCCAGATCCACACTATGCAGAGCTGCATAGTATTGCATCATGCAGATGGACCAGGTCAGTAGCCCCCTATTGGTGGACATCTGGGTAGTTTCCTCTTTTGCTGTTACCAGCTACACTCCCACGTCTGCCCAGGTGTATCTGCGGGACAGAACCTCAGGAGTGGGTCTTTAGACCAAAGAGTAAATGTATTTGTAATTTTGTGTTCTGCCTAGGGGTGTGTAACCATACTGTTTGACTATTTGGAAAAATGTATTAGTTGTACATTTAAAAAAAGCAAGTATAAAAATTGTTCATATTCTTGTTTTTTTTTGTGGTTGGCTAGTATGGGGATCTGAACCCTTGACCTGGTGTCACAAGGCCACTCTCTAACCAAAAAATCACTCATATTCTGTGGGAAGTAACACAGTGTACGTAGTGTTAAGAGACAGACTGTCCCTCTTCCTCACCAGCTGTATAATCTGGGCAAGTGACTCACCTCCACTGGTCAGTCACAGTTTCTCCTTCTGCATAATGCTTTGAAAATAATAACTGCCTGACAAGATCTCCCAGGGGAGTCTGGAAGCTTCTGCATGTAAAGGGCTTAGCATGGTGTCTGGCCACATAGTCAAGAATATTCCCCATGTCTTTACATCCAGACTGTGGAATATTTTGCAGCCATTAAATAAGCAAGCTCTCTCTGCTGACAAAGAAAGGTGCACTGATTGTGTGGTGGATGGAAAAAAGGAAACTATAGAGCTGGACATGCAGTGTGCTAACTTGCGTATGCCAAACAGATTATTAATAGCAATAACAGTAATCCCCTCTGCAATGAAAGAAAAGCAAAAAAGCTTGGAAAAGTCACATGGAAAAAATAGAACTTGAAAAATGAATGTTTCTTTTAAAAATAACAGACACTGATTACTATCTATATTTTGAAAGCTAAGAAAATGCCTCAAGATAAACACTTTATTTTCTTCAACTCAACTCACTGTTCTTAAGTTCCAGAGAGAAAAAATGCCAGCATTCCCTGGTGCTAATGAACTTGTTACTTTACTCTGCTCTCATAGACTTTTACCTGCTTTTGAAAGTTAATTATGTGTCAAAAAAGTGTTTAATGTGAAAATGAGTTAGCTGCTATGAAAGACTCAGCAGTGTGCATTTATAGCTTTTCTTTTGAAGGTGTGTTACATTAAAAACCTTCGAAAGCTGTGTTTTTCTTGGTGGTGGGAAACTGAATACTTCACAGGGTTGTCTTCCAGTGTTTCTGGTTTTCCTCCCTCTCAAACCCAGTGCAAATGCTCTGTGCAGCGAATTTCCTTCCAGAATAGCCTGTTTACAGGCTTCTAAGTGCCAGGCCCGGCTCTGAGCACTTACAGAGCATTGCACGTGTTCAGTATTCTTCACAGTTCTACCATCTACCTCACTTTACAGATGAGGAAACTGAGGCCCAGAGAGATCAAATCACTGGCCCAGGGTCACCCCAGATGGGAAGCGGGGTCAGGTTCCCAAGCTCTGGTCCTTAACCAGAAAAGATGTGTAAAGATACTCCCAGCAGGGGATAGCACTAGGGGGCATTTGAGGAGGGTCCTGGGTACTTCCATTTTTCTGTATGTTAGAGTTTGGAATCTTTAGCATCAATAATTACTACTATTGTAATGAAGTGACTCTAAAACATGACTTACTGACCTGAGTGTCCTGTCACCCCAGCCCCGAGGAAGCTGGGCGCTACCTGGAGACCTACAAGGCCTATGAGCAGAAGCCAGCAGACATCCTGATGGAGAAGCTGGAGCAAGACTTTGTCTCCCGGGTGAGGCCGCCTCACCTCCCTCCTGGGCACCTCCCATCCCTGCCTGGGCCTCCCCCCAGCTCCATCTTCCTCCCAGGCTTCCCCCAGCTCCTAGGTGGTTGAGCTAGAATTCTGATGTTCAAGACATGTCAATCCATCCCTCAGGCCTCTCCTCCCCCGCCCAGTTCTCCCCTACAGCAGCTAGATGGGTCTTCCTAAAGGCAAACCTGATCCTGCCCTCCCCAGCTCAAAACCCTCCAATGGCTCCCCAGTGCCCTAAGGGAACGCCCAGCCTTCTTTGCGTGCTCTACAAGGGTCCGTCTGGCCCAGCAGCCCTGTGCTCCCTACTGCCCTGCTTCCTGTTACACTGTATTGTCCCAAGCCTAGTTTGCTCCTCTAAACATTCTGTTCCCCCTGTCCAATTGCCTGCCTGATTCCATCTTTTACACCTCAGCTCTGATGCTCCCTTGTCTAGGAAGCCCTCCCTGATCCCCAGGCCAGGTCAAGTGTCCCCACTGAGCTCCCCTATCTCAGCCCTGTCCACCTGGGTCATCACTATCTGGAACTGACTTGTCTTCGCAACTGGAGTGGAGAGCAGAACAGGACAGGGCTGGAGATATCTTGGTCCCTGCTGTGTCCCCAGCACCACCCAACAGTCAGTGAGTGCTCAAAGATTGCTGAATGAATTGATGAATCCCCTGCCATTTATGCTTTTCCTGGGGATTCTTCTGGGATGAGATAACAAGCCAGAGGGCCTGTTGGACAGTCAAGGCCTTGTGTCAATAGCTCCTGCATCTGAAGCTCTTACATTGTGCTAGGCACATCAGCTCAACAACTGGGTTTACAGCCACCTACTGGGGAAAGTACTCTGAAAATTCCCATCTCATGGAGGAGGAAGGGAGTGAAGTAACTCACCCAAGGTCACACAGCCAGGAACTGGCAGGGCTGGGGTTGGAACTGAGACAGCCAATACTCAGGCCACGTGGGCCATCACTCAGTAATGTTATCACCCACCATGAGCTGGGCAGCATCCTTTGCTGCACTCCAGTGATGTCCACAGCCACCCCTGAGTACTGTGGATACGATTAGGATCTTCATTTGTCCAAAAATGGAGCCCAGAGAGGGCAGTTTCCTTGCCCTGACTCTTGCAGGGATAGCAGTGGGGCTGGTTTTGAATCCAGTTCTGACTTCAGAGCCTTCCGCTGGACAGAACTAGCTCAAGATAAATGGCATTTATCTTATCAGGTGACCAATACCCTCTCAGCTAGTTGGGGATCACTCTGAGATGATCTTTTAATCAGTTAAAAAAAAAAAAAAACGCTGGCCGGTTAACTCAGTTGGTTAGAACACAGGTTATAACACCAAAGTCAAGGGTTCGGTCAAGGTCAAAGCATTTACTGAGCATCTCCTGCATACCAAGCAGTCTGGGGACACAGAAGTGACCCAGCCCTGCCCTCAGGCTCAGTCTTGCTGGCCTTTCCTGGCCCAACACACTTCTGCTTCCTCCTCTCCTTCCAGGTAACTGAATGTCTGACCACCGTGAAGTCAGTCAACAAAACAGACAGTCAGACCCTCCTGGCCACTTTTGGAGTAAGGAACAGCTCTCCTACCCTGATTGGCACTTCTGCCTCCTTGCCTTTCCTAAGAAGCCCCTCACCCATTTCTTCCATCTCCTTGCCCACCCCTGACCCTTCATGCCTCCCCTACCTTCCCTTAGGCTCTTAAGACTATCTTAGGCCCCTCATCAGCTGGGCAGGGCAGGGTTTTGTACTGACCTCCCCTGACCCCTAGCTTCCACCTTCCTCAGTCTCTGGAACAGCTCATAACTGCATCGCGGGAAGATTTGGCCTTGTGCCCAGGCCTGGGTCCCCAGAAGGTAAGAGCTCTAAGAAAGAATTTGAAGTGTTAGGGTCATGAGGGAACTCCAAATAAACAAGACGTCAGATCCTAAAGTTTTAAGGTTTTGGAAGGCCCATAGTGCCTCTCTTACAGACAGGGAAACTGAAGCCCAAGAGGGTGGGGACCAGCCCAATCTCACAGCCAGCCTGGGATAGAGTCCATATTGGACTACTTCCCTCCTAGACCCCAGAGCCTGCTCCAAGCTGGGAGGAAAAAAAACCAAAAACTCACTCTGGATGTACCAAACACAAGGCTCGTTTAATGACTGGCTCCTCATTTCTTTCTCTCTCTGTTCATAAAACAAAAACTCACTCTGGATGTACCAAACACAAGGCTCGTTTAATGACTGGCTCCTCATTTCTTTCTCTCTCTGTCCCAGGCCCGGAGGCTGTTTGATGTCCTACATGAGCCCTTCTTGAAAGTGCCCCGATGACCTCCGCTGCCAAGGAGGCCCCCGTGTAATAATAAAGCATTTTTGCAGTCCAGGCTCCTGCTGGGTTTGCTGGTGCAATCGCTGGGGAGGGGTTCTTGTGCTCTCACCTTCTGATGGCCCCCAGTAGCCACCATCAGCTTCCCTCAGTTTTCTCCAGGGAGACTACGCAGGGTCCTGCTGCAGCTTCTTCCGCTTCTTCTCCCGTCCTTCCATAGGAGCCACCTCCCCAGACTCTGGATTCAGCAGCAGCTCTGGCATCTCCTTTTGGGGTGCTGTCTCTGGCACCCAGCTTTCCCAGTCCTGCTTTTTCCTCTTCTTGGTGGATGCTGGAGCTGCCTTGACCTCAAGCTCCACTGTCTCCCTTGGTGGGTCAGTCATCCCAGTCCCTGGCTCTGTCACTTTGTGTCCTCTCTCTTTCTTCTTCTTGGTCGATGCCGACAGCTCAGGCTCTAGCACCTCTGTCCCTGGCTCCACCATGGCATTTTGCCACTTTTCTTTCTTCCTTTTCTTCTTGGTGGATGCCAGAGCTGTCTCAGCCTGAGGCTCAACTTCATCTGGCAGTTCATGCTTCAGGTCTCCATGAAGCTCCAGAGGACTCGCCTTTGGCTCCAGCGCCTCAGTCCCTGGCTCGGTCATCACATTTTGCCACTTTTCTTTTTTCTTCTTCTTCATGGGGGGCAGTGGGATGGCTTCCTCCTGTGGCTCAACCTTCACCTGCAGCTGTGACTCAACTATCATCCCCTCCACCTGCTCCATCCCCTCTGTCCCCTTTTGTTTCTTTCTCTTCTTGGTGGGGGATTGGACTGTCTCTTCCAGAGGCTCGGTTTTAACCACGAGTTCCAGCTTCACCGTCTTTTCTTCTGGCTCCGGCATCCCCACTTCTGGCTTGACTGTTTTTGCCCCTTTGGCCTTCTTCCTTTTCTTGGTGGTGGTTGGTAACAGCATTCCTGGAGGTTCTGACATCTCAGCTGTGGGCTCTGTCACCTCTGGTTCTTTTAGCTGCTGCTTTTTCTTCTTCCCTACATCTGTTTCTGGGGACTCCAAAGCTGTATCTATCTCCAGGGCCCTGTACCCATTTACTGCCTCCTGAGTGACTGAAGCCTCTGGCATCTGTCTCTTCTTTTTCTTCTTCCCTGAGGCGGGTGACTTTAGTGCCAACACTGACCCAGGCCCTGTGACTGGTGGGCTGCCTCCAAAGGCACAGAACCGAGGCCTCAGGCCAGGGGGAATCTGTGGCGGGGGACTTGATGGAATGGGCTGCAGAGGGGTCCTTGACAGGAATTCTTGAGGACCCTCAAAGATTCTTAGGCTGCCCTGGGGTGCTGGGCCTGCCTCCAAAGGCACAGAACCGAGGCCTCAGGCCAGGGGGAATCTGTGGCGGGGGACTTGACGGAATGGGCTGCAGAGGGGTCCTTGACAGGAATTCTTGAGGACCCTCAAAGATTCTTAGGCTGCCCTGGGGGGCTGGGGCACCAGGCCCCGGCGGATCTCCTCCACAGTCTCTTAGATAAGATTTGTTCCAACACCGCCTTAAAGGGGCAGCCACACTGGTAGGAACTAACTCTTAAAGAGACAGGAAGATCGACTGGTCTGAAATTCCTACAGAGACGGGTAAGAACCTTGGCTGGCAAGGCTGTGCTTTCAGTGTTACAATCCCTTCTGGGGAGGCCCAGATACCTCGGAAGTTCAGAACTTGAGTGAGAGAAGTGGGAAAATGGAAAAATGGAGGTAATCCTTCCCGAGGGCGTGAAGTATTGGCCAAGGGCGGAGCTTCTGGACTCGGAGGGAAGCGGGAAACACAGGGGGAGGAGCCTGTGGAGTCGGGGGCGGGGCCTGGGACCCGGGAGCAAGACACGCGTGGGGTGGTGCGGGCTAAGGGGCGGGGCTTGTGGATCAAATGGGACTTGTAGATGCCTTCGAGGATTTTGTCTCGTGCGTGGGAAACATTCCCGGTGGCTTTGAGGAAGGGAGAGGGAGTAGGAGTCCTGATCGTCGACTCCTCCCTGCCCCGGGGCCCGTGTAAACAGCAGCACGTGGACGCGGATTTGGGGGACCCGCTCACGCCTCTTCCCACCCGTACAGCACCGCATGGGGCGGCGGGCGGAGCCACGGGACGGAGGCTAGACAGGGCGACCCGACTGCATTCCTGGCCGGTGTGTCAGCGTCGCTTCCCGCCCCCTCTGCCGAGATTTCGGATCCTACTCCAGAACTGAGGCGCTCCTCTCCTCCCCAGGAAAAAGCGGCTTTTCAGAGCGGACGGAGAGTCAAGGGGAAGGGGGAAAGTTCCCTCTGTCCGAGATCTAAAGTTTCCCGCTCGTGGGCGTTTTAGAGACACTGGGGCGCCGCCCCTGCAGGCTCCGGGACTACAATTCCCAGAGGACCCTAAGAGGGGAGGTGCCTGGCTTCAGTCGCGGGTGATGCTGGGGATTGTAGTCCAGCCTCCAACTGTGCTCTGTTGCTGGTAGATTCTGTGAAAATCCAACTCGCCCTTTTTACCGACTGGTAGATTGAGGCTCAGAGACCCGATGAGATACTGATTTAGCGCGACTGTCATCTCGCCTTAGGGGCGGGTCGTGTGAGTTTCCCCCAGCCTCCAATCTTCTATACCTTAGGTGGCATCCAAATCTTCACTCAGGAGGGGGGAAACTGAGCCTGGAGGGCTGGGGCAAGGACTCAGGAGTCCGCCTCCTGCAGCTGCAGCGAGGTAGGAGTCTCGGCTGTTTTCCTGTATCTCCCTGGCCAGGTCACTCTCGGCTTCTCGGCCTCGCCCTTCCTGTCTGTGAAATGGACTCCGGGTGAATCCAAATAGGAACGCCTCAGTCTGCGTCCTGCTCCTCCAGGACTACAAGTCCCGAGGTGCTCGAGGCGACCTCGGCTGTCCCCCCCCC